AATAAAAAATATCAAGAGAAATAATAAAATAAGGCAATAACACGGCAAATGTGCTTAATGATATTATTTACTTTTCTTATTTACATAAAACACACATCAAACAGAAATTAAATCTTCTGTGATATATATGCAGATGAGGTTAGATAAAAACAAAAACAATTTGAATTGCGAAATTGTCGGAAACAGTAAATAATTCTCCCAAAATCCAAAGATATCTACAATTGAATATCCAATTCAAATAATGCTGTCTGTTCTGTCGATGATGACTATGGAATGAATATTTTACAGAGGGAAAAACTTTAATTGCACATAACAGTGAATGAGTGAGGGTTTCATAGACGTCGCAATATATAGCAACATGAGAGCTAGTGGCGACGGACCTTGTAAGTTTTAACCATGGGCAAGTGACGAGAATGACACTTGAGCTGGCACACCGTTCTCCTAACTATGACACCACTCCAACGGGAGGACATTGAGCCTCAACAGATTTAATGCACATAGGCCCTCTCTACACGGTGCGCATTACAGAAAGAAGGGTTAGATTTTATTGATGCAAATATCTTTACACCTTACACCCGAGTATCCCCTCACTTAACACCACGGAAGGACATTAAATTCCAACAGTCGTAAATTACATCGGCCCCTTCTACAAGGTACACATCACAGAAAGATTAAGATTTTACTGATGTATACATAAAAATTTGTTTTAAGCTGTCGAGAATCATGGATTTTTCAAGAAGAAATATTGCTAGTTACATTTTCAAGTAAGTCATCTAACAATACATATTTCGAAGTCAGTTGATCTGCTTAACTCAAGTTTTCGAAGCCCGGAACGAAAAATAGCCAAATATTAAGTCATTTGTATGGAATTATTCATATTCAGTCAGACCTCTGTATAACGAAGTCGCTAAATACCCGAAAAAAGTTCGTTATATAGAGGTTCATCTTTTTATATATTTTATAAACCACATAAAACAAATTTTAAATTCATAAACACTATATATTCAGAGAAGTGATTATTCACATCTTTTTTTAAACTAATATATGTTTATTTTATATATCTTACCCATTAAAAAAAGAAAGAAAGAAAAACTCCAAGGAAAATAAGAAAACAGAATGTCGAAGAATTACTGTATTTTCAACATTAAAAAAATAATTTTATACTAAAATTAATAAATTTTAAGGACCTTTTATGGTTTCAAGCATACAAGTAATATTAAATATACATTATTTTATAATTAGAACACGGGGACACGGGAAAACTCCACTGAGGCTGAAACAGGATATCAAAGATGTTTCCAGTGAACTGGGCAATGGGGTTAACGGTTGCCCTTCTTAGATGAAACGTCCAGAACTCGATTGCTCTCGGCGAGTTAGGATCTAATAAAATCAGTTCAAGATTTATGACCACCATAAAATGTGTTAAAGAGAGAATAACTCGAAATGTTCAGAAATACTTATAGAGTTTGGACTGTATTTCAATAACGTTAATTTAAATTCATTGAAATAAATATAATATATATAAACTACATTTTGAAACGTACTCGACAAAAAAAAGTACCTCACTAAACTACCCTCCAGTTTATTGAATTCATCGTTCATTCCAGAATATATATTTCTAACGCTACTTCACCACAAATGTACTTTATTTACAAACAAAATCACTGCTCAACAATAGTCTTCAAGACAAATCGTACTCTGGTCACTTCACTTACCCTACAGCACTCCATCCTCTTTTTATAGAATCAATTTCCAAACATCAGTAGAGGCGGAAACAAAAGCTACAGACCAATACCCTTCCAGGAAATAAGAAACGACATTTTCGATCACTTTCACCTCAGAAAGATTGTTCTATTATTAGTTTTTTTCTTCCCCTGGATACCATTAATCTTTGCAGGTATCCCATCACCAGACAGGACAAGATCACAGACTCCGATAAACTCTTTTATCTCCAATCTATCAGCCCCAGACATTGTAGAGAAACCCTCAAGCTACGAGACCACAAATCCGTGAAGTGATTCTCAAGATGGCACCAGGTATATCTATCGGCAAAGCATCTTCCACAGAAGGATAAGGTTGGCTAAACAAGCATTGAAACACGTGTGATGATGGTGCCGTGTTCGCTGAAAACTTGTGCACAAGAACGAATGGATTAAATTCCGCGAAGACAGATAGAGGTTTAGATTGATTGCTGAGGCTTGCTGTCATGTATGTAAAGGAGATATTTATGGGCTCCATGCTTCGTATTGTTGTCTTTTCATTGTTTTTTTATGTTCAAGGAACTGGTGTGAAAATCAGATTAGACAATAAGGATCCTATTTTCGGAGAAATCATAATGGATTGGATAGTGGGTTTTTTTGGTGCAAAATAGACGGATTTTTGTCGATGTTTCAGATCTTTTATTCCTCCTTCTGTAGCTTAACAAATTTTTTCCCCTAATAGAAATTGAACAATAACGTCATTTCTTGCTTCATTAGTTTTGTCTGTATGCCTAATTTTCCTTTTGAATCAAAGAGTAGTAGAATTTTCTCAACTCAAAGTAATTCATACCGCCTCTTTCATTGCAGAATCTACATTTACCGATAGTATTTTTATTAAAGAAACGCAATTGTAACGTTTTCCTATGTGAGAGCCTCTTTCAACAAACATTATCTCCTTTGACGTTTTTAAAAATTACGCTAAGTTAACATTTTAATTTTCTCGCTGTAAAAGTAACAAGAAAAGTGTCTTATAGAAATGAAAATATTCACAAAATAAAAACTGCGAGTTCTGAACACGTATTCACAAAATCATCACAAAAATACAATTTTGAAATCAATATCAAGTGAAAATGTCAAGACATCAACAGAAAATTTGTGAATAAACTATTCACACATATAATTTTGTTATACCAGAAATGATGTAAAATTGTCGATACATTTTAAGGTTATAACAAAATCAATATTTCATTTATTTACTTTTTCTCCTTCAACTTTGGAGCTTTAGGATTGCTCGTTTATACAACTAGGAGTATTATGTAAAAAAGTTTACCTTCTTTTGCCCCTTGATCATTAGCAAGTAATATCAAGTTCAAGTGTACTTATGATGCCGAAATGATAATTATACTCATAACATATTAATCCGCTTAAATAAAAAAAGTTATAAAATCATCAAACAGATAAAAATAGGAATATATTTTGATGAAAAATACTAGTAATACTAGCTAAAACCTTCACAATCGCTAATGTTGTGTTTAAAAAAAATGAGTATATTTTAAAAAGAAATTCTTTACATTAGTTATCAAATTACCCGTATCCATATAAAAAACAGCGACATAACTCTAATTTTAAGATATTTCAATTTAAACTTGCATACAGAATTTATATTAGTTGAAACATGTGATTAAATTTTAAGTTAGTGTTATAAATTTAAATTATAAAGGGGGAAAACTTTTTCACATTCTAAAGAAGCATATGATGTTAAAGAAATTGAAAGCGGCCTTTGTTTACAATAATAAAGATTTTTATAATTAGATGTTTTTAATAAAGTAATAATGAGACAGAATACATAATTATGATTTAAAGTAATAAGGATATTCATTGAATTTCTTTAAAACAAACAATGAGACACGTTTCGGCGGTTATTATTATAAAAATATTTTAGTTTAGTCTAATAAAATATTCTTACGTCGTTTAAAAAGGTCTAGCTTAGATAAATTTTGGAGAGAAAAAATATGGCAGTGGATGTATATAAGGTAAAATATATATCATTACGAACAATCACATAATGATAGTTATAATATTTATTTTTTTAAATCAAATAAGAAAGGCATTAGAAATAAAAATTGAAAAACATTTTCTACAAACAGAAAACGTAAACTTTCTTCCCTGCCCAATTTTAAATTTCACGCTCGAAAACACAAATTTAACAAGAAGAATAATTCAAGAAACCATGAAGAGAGTCGATTTTGTTACATTTTATTTTATCAAAGATTTCGCGTATTATCAACGCCGCTTTTTCAAACTGGAGTTACGCAGAATAATATTTAATATGCACACAAAAGTTAATGACCTCAGAGAGATAAGATAATTTCGAAATTTCCATTTCATGATAACTATTTCTCTTTCAACATAAAAAGTATTTAAAATGTTAATATTTACTTAAATATTACAACAGAGTTAAAAAATGAAACTGGAAATAAAAATCTGTGATACGACTCTTTTCATACATTGAATACCGATAAAAAGATAAATTTGTACCAATAGTCTTCAGATTTTGTTCAAATTTTGCCCTTAAAATTATAAGGTGTTTCCGGGATACCCCCATCCAAAAAACCCTTAAAAGAATATATCTTAAAGTAATATTTAAAGCATCTCAACATGTTATAGTGTTATAGGTATACTTTAAGTAATTCTAAAAACTACTGCATTTTTTCAATTCCTGCTATTAGTTCACACTCTTCCTATGTGTATATATATATATGACAGGCCCCAGGCCTGTTGGTAAAATGAAGAGGGCATCATCTCAATAAGAACGTCTTTATTTCGCTTCAATCACATAAAATCCAACATGGCGGCCCTTTGGCGCGCAACCGGGTGGTACAAAAGACAACATCTCAGTGAGGAGTCACCAGCTAAGCCTTTCTGAGTATGCGTTTTCTTTCGTCAGCGCTCGCTCCACCTTTAAATAGTTTTATTTACCCACAATTCCTTACGCGATGGGTAAAGAGTTCGCTCTATTTTTAATTATTACTTCCTTAATTTTGAAGCAAAACTTTTGAAACCTGACACACACACACACATATATATATATACTATAGTTCAAGTTTTCAATCGTTTATAAAATACTTTTTATTCATCCACTCAAGTTCAAATACAGTTTTTTAAACTTGTAGTGGGTGACACTTGATGTTAATTCCGTTTTTTTAAATATTAATTCATTAATTAAATTGAAAAATGAATAAATAGAAACAAACAAGAATAATAGACCAACGGCACAGATACAAAGGAAAATCGATCGCTGTGTCTGTAGCGCGATGGATAGCGCGTTGGACTTCTAATCCAAATATCGTGGTTTGAATCACACCTGGGATGGCCTAATTTTTGAGAATGTGATTTCTTTTTTTTACTATACTATTTTATTAAAATAATTAAATTTAATGAATGAATAAATAGTAACAAACAAACAAAATAGTCTAGCACTCTATATAGAAAGGAAAATTGCTTTCTATTGTGTCACTTAATATTGTGTTTCTGTCATATGTATATACATATTTACATTAATTGTAATTATTTAATAAAAAATAGCTAAAATAAAAATTTTCTTTATTGACCTAAACAGGAATTGACTTATTTTTTTTATTTTACATTTTATTAAGATTTTTTAACTTAATATTTATGTAATTGACTCATTAATTCGTGTTCTATGTGTCAAGTTCCCTTGCAATATATTTAATAACTGGGATATGTGTTTGCATTTTTTTTACACAAACTATCGAAGTCTAGTTCTATTAAAGCTTTCTGCATGCTTATTTCATATTCTGTGTTAATTTGCTTGTGTGTGTGTGCGTGCGCATGCGTATGTGTGTGCTTTGCCACATACGTTGAGAAATATTTTAAATGTAAATATATAATTCAGAATGGCATAAAATGTTTACAACTGTGTGAGAAATTACTGCGTATTCTTCAAATTTGCAACTTAAAATTTAGAAGTTATTCCTGCTTGAATTCAGACTTTAACGTCGAATATGTTGATACGTCGATAAGTTATTTCTCCTTCATTGACAAGATCACCGATTTACCCATTCAAGCTTAAAGCACGTGACTTTTACGAAATTTAAGATTTTATTTTATCCATAAGATATTTATTTATATTTATTTTTACAAGAAAACTACCTTTAAGAGAGAGAGAGAACTCAATCTTTTATAAAAATTCAAATTTTACAAAAATTTCGGAGCTTTGATTCAGCAAATAGTGTTTACTTTCGGAACTCCCGTCAAAGTTTCAAGGAACGCAGGTGGAAAACTTCTGATTTATACCCTTTTGTGGGGAATAAAAATATTTTGCGATATTAAAAGAATCAAATAGACACGAATAAAGGAAACAACGGAGAAAAAGTACGAACAGCAGGAAAAAGGCGACAAGGCCAAATTGTCCTCAACAAAAATACTAAATAACTGTACGTGTGACTTTTTAAGGCCTATTTAATAAAGATATTCCGCACATTTCAAGCATTTATTATTCATGATCAACCTTCCACACAATACTAATCCTATTCAGTGGCGTATCACTTCCGTCAACAAGTGTTTTTCCGTCGTATTAAAAGTCAGAAATCTTCCACCTGTCGCTCAAATGTGTCAGAAAGACAAATGAGTGGGTGACTTAGCATCAAAAGCACAGATAAATGAAATCATAGATCTCCAATGACTGCCAACATTAAATTTCTTTTTCCGTATTTAAATATAACCGCCTCCTGGCCTTAAAAACTCAATTCTCATCCATATGGATGACCAGAAAAGCAAAACACTGCGCAACAAGGAAATGAAAGGGGTAAAGAAGAAAAAAAAATATTGTCTCCCAATTCTTGTTGCTTTCCGAAATACCTTTTTTCCCATGTGATCGGCCACAATCCAGGCTATGGAAAAGAAGGCGGGTGCTATATACTACAATCGGGTAATCCATCAAAAGAATTCGAAAATCATTCCGATCCACGTTTTCCAATTGGACAGTCATCCATCCAATGACGGCACACGTTTTTCTTGCGTTCGTGCATCAGATGGCGTGCATGCATAATTCCGCGCCATTTCGTCGAAAGACAATGCCACATAAGAATACAATAATCGCAGCGTTCGGTGTTGTTTTTGCACTTGGTCCACGGCTAATCATGCACACTGGTAGGTTAGAATTACAGCTCAGCTTGCGGTTATTTATTAATCCAATAAACATCTCTGAATTGCTCGCCCAAGACAAGAGCCAGCACGAAGAACAACGTTATGTTGGATGCGGTAGCCAAGGTAACGGCTTCTACCACGTTTCTTTATTCTTGGGGAGGAAGGGGTTAAGTGAATGTTGTTTGCCGATTTTTCATGGCGTTATTGTTTTGGTTCTTTATTTTTATTTAATTTTTTTTTATCTTCGCATCGTTCCGTGTCCATTACACATTCGAGGACAGGAAAGGTCGAATATTCACGCGCTTGTTTTCCATTGTAGGAAATTTGCATACTTCTCTTTTGGTTTCCAGGATTTTCAATAAGAGTGGGGAGGGGCGACTTTTTTTCATAGTTTATGCTGTAACTCAAGCGTGAGAAGAATTGTCACCTATGTGCATGAAACTGTTAAAAATGGAGGATGTGGAGATTAAATACAGAAATAATTTTGCCGGCAACCTTTCTCTTAACCCTTTAATTTGGTAGTGAGCTTATAGTTTTGGCAGCAAGGTAAATTCTTCAGAAAATTACAATCTGTCTAAATATAATCTTTCTTTTTTATTTACTTCAATGTGAGTTTAGCAGAAAATGGGGGCAGATACATATGCATTGTATAAACGATTGGATGTGTATGTGGACAACAATTTAATTCGATAAATCGCATATTCAGAATTAGCTAAGGCTAATTCGTGTTTTTTAACGCAGCAAACTAATTATTATGAAATGTTTGTGGCAATAATTGCAATTGATTTTAAGAAAATGATCTTTTCAACGATTAAGCAAAAAGCTGTTTTCTTGTTCATGTTTAACATTCTACAACATGAGAGAAATTGATGCAATAACATTACAAAAGATTAAAAATAGATTTAAATCGTACGCAAGACATTTAAAAACAAACTATAAGCCAAATCTCTTGATCAAAAAGATTATATCTGATTTCTGGATTTCCATTTCAGTGACTGGCAATGGAAAACTAGCGGAATGATTCCAAGTTTCTTATCCACCTTAAAAATGGAACATGTGAGGTTGCTTGGAAACCATTTAATATTAGCATTTCTCTCTATTTTGCTGTAACATTATAAAAGTATAAAAAATTTGAATGCACCATAAGATTTCTCGATACTACTTTAAGCATTCATTACCTAAGACATTATGAGATTATTGTTAAAATTTAACATTAACCTCTAATTATTTCCCATCTATGCAGCATTGATTTTAAAAAGAAACATAAACCCGACATATCTTACACTGTAGCGTCCATCAATATATTTTACAAAGATTTGGAAGACGGATACATATTAACAGCGGCCAAATTCATTTATCTGAAGAGGTCGAAGGAGCAGAATGGCCATGGTCACGGACCTGTCACTTGCGTTGTAATGAGCCAATCGTGCGTTTGAGACTTGGTACCCTTTAAGACCAAGACCAGCTGTATAGAGGGAATGACATACACTAAATCTTTCGCAACGTCTTCACGATTACGTGGTTTGGAGAGTGGGATGATAGCTCAAGTATCGTCCTCATCACATGGCCGAGATAAAAAAAATTACGAAATCCGCCGCCAATAACTCACGTGGGGGTGCCATTTCGTAGCTCTAAATCTTTTAAGTAGAGCTAGGTCCCCAAGAGCACTATGCCACTAAGCCACTCTCAACACGAAGTTAATAAGTGGATCAATCCTTCCCCTGAAGATTATATAATTATGAACTAAAAATATAATAAGCTAACTCGCATACTGTACAGCAGTGTTTCCCATAGTGGTCCCTACGGGCCCCCAGGTGTCCCCGATATTATTCAGGGGGTCCATGGAAAATTAAAATTAATTTGGGAGTCCTTGAACAATGTCAAGGGATCCAAGCAAAATTTAATATAACATTTAAAAATGATCCATTTTTATTTTTATAGAAAATTAAATAAACAACAAAATTCACTTGGATATTCCTGGATGGGTGTTGAACCCTTTTGCACAAGGACTAACTCAGGTCCCAAACGCAGATAAATTCATACTAATACAGGAGCCTCTTATTGAAATATCTACAAATGAGGGACTTAAACCAAGGTTTGAACAAGGATACCACAAATTCTGGTCACAAAAACAGATCTCAATTTTACATCCTGCATTATCGGTCATTGCATAGAATTTGTTGACTACTTTCCCGCCTTCCACTTGGGAGAGTTTTGACTATAAAAAGGGGTCCATTTAAAAAGGGGTCCATGGGCAAGTTTTGACTATAAAAAGGGGTCCATGGATTAAAAAAGTTTGAGAACCACTCCTGTACAGTAGAATAATCATTTGATCTAAAATTACAAAAAAAAAAAAAAAAAATTTCAATAAAAATCGCCTGTGGAATGCACAAAAAAGCAAACATCCCTATATTCAATTTATGAAGCAGAAATAGTAATCCACACCTTAACATCAACAGAATGAAGCCAGCAAAGTGTGAGAAGAAGCTGCTGGAAGAACCTGAGAAGAGAGAAATACCCCTTTGAATTTTGAATTTGATTTGACGGTATGTGAAAACAGGTAATGTATAGTGATGTCGAGAGTAAAAAGAGAGAGAGGTTAGATTTTTTTTCCGAAATAGCTCGTCGCCCCAATTGCAAACAGCTAGTAGGTTTCTCATTCATTCAAAAAGCAGTCTATAAATATTTAACAGTATAGCATTACTGGTCACTAATTCAAGCTGAAAAAAATATGGGAAGAAGGATTAGAGGACACACGAATAACGGAAAAGAGGAACAGGAGTTACAGTGAAATCATGAGAGAGAGAAAACATGTTAATTTTCTCATAAGACAAAAAGTAAAAAATATGAATTTATTAATATTTATTATTAATAAGAAATTTAGGTAAGAAATTGTTTTTAACACAAAATAATTGAAGAAACAGTTAAAAGAAAATTTCTTTCAAAACTAGATACTTCATTAACTCTTATTAACATGCATTAATACATTAACATGCTGCACAGGCGACTTCCTTAAAATTAACAATTAAAAAGGGAAGTATGAATTGTTTTTTTTTCAATAAAGATCTATGAAAAAAAATATTTAACGCATAAGCACACATTCAAATATCTGAAATATTACGGTCATTTTTGTTACATTTTTCAATTTAATACATGAAATTTTTTTATAACTTAGTTCCAATTTTGACTCTAACGGAAGAATT